TTATTATTAATTTTATAGCCCTCCTTATATATAGTATTTTAGTCCTTAATAATTTTTGAAGTATTTTTGAAAACAGCATATCCATCAACAAAGCATAAAAACATAAGTTGCAATTATTTTCTAATTGATACATTTTTATTTGCTTTCTGATCAATAAGAAAGAAGGATAATTGATTTCTCGCTTTAATTATTAAGTAGCTAATTACTGGATATCATGAAAAAGTACCTAATTAAAGTTACAGCTTTTTTCTCAATAATTGTAGTTTGCTAATGTTGCAGCCGCTATAACCCCGTTTGGCCAAATGGGCATGCAAAAAAAAAAAAAAAAAAAGAAGAAAAACCCAAGCGTTTGCAGCACGCATTCACTTATTCTCTCTTTACCCACACGGTGCAATAAGGATAAGACGTGTCTCGTTTCCGCTCCACGGGATTTCTTAGTCCCAAGCAAACCACGTGCCGCATACACGAATATATAGCCTTTCAACAAAAAGGTAATAATCGCTAATTTAAAAGAGCAACCTGCAACAGTAATGATTTACGTCTAGCATTTACGCCTAGCATTTACGCCTAGCATTTACGCCTAGCATTTACGCCTCTGCTCATTGGTAAAAGCATCTTGGTTGATAGGCTTTTATTTTGGATAACCGTGTTACTTGATCATACGAGTATAACTTCGAGTTATCATAAATATGATAGATATTTTAGATTTGGGATTTATTTTCTAAGTATTTCATTAATAAACAAAAAGACTATTGTCTTTCCCAATTGACCGATTCTTTGGAGTTAATTGAAGAGAACGGTAAGTTTGAATTGTCTTCGGAGAAAAATGAAAAACGAACATTTGTTTATGTCTGTTCACGATTATGGTGGCCGAGGGAAATCACCTTTATCAGACTATAAGGCTAACTATTGTATTTAACACCATAAAGCTTCAGAATATTTTTTCTCTTTCTACTTAATAGATACGAAGAGAGCGTGATCGAAATGTCAATAAATAATTACCGCATTAAAGAGTAAATAAACCAAAGACATCTCTCCCGTACAAACCAGAAAGTTTAAATTCTTTGACAAAAAGAGATGTCGGAACATTTTTTTTTTTATTTGTAATAATTTCGATTGATTTCTTCTTTCATGTGGGTGAACGTAGCTCTTCACAAGATCACCACAGAAAACGTTTTCTTCTTGCCATTAGCATGGTTGCTGCTAAACTCTAGGAGAGCAACGGTTTGCGCCTTCATAGGCCCAAAGTTTTCTATTGACATGAATGGTAGTTGTTATGGGATCTTACCCATAAGAATAATAATGGACTATTCCATACTTAATAAACACTGCGCCTCAGGAGTAGGCAAGGAGTCGGGTGTCAGTAGTTCAAGTTGAGTCAATAGTTCAAGTAGATTTAAGAGTCGAGTCAGAGGCAGTCCGAAACCGAGTCGCGTTCAGACAATTACTACATGACATTGGAATAGTGATACTGGTCGAGACTACATTGTTTTCTCTACTAAACCTGATTGTTCATACTAACACTTCTACTTCTCTGTATATATTCCTGTTTGTAATATATCTGTGTTATTCCATACCTGTGTTCGAGTTCTTCTTTATTGGTTCTACCTTGGACTATCACCGTGGTACAAGGAACTGGACCATAACAGTAATCATTATATCAAATCAATTGTTACGTCTATTGCTAGGAAAGTTGGTTCACTGTAAGATTGAAAGATTTTCTCATCAGGATCCACTTTATAAGTCTACCATTCGTCAGTGCGTTGAAATCTACTGTCATATCTCGTCTGGTACTCCTGCTCGAGGTTATAGACGAAATTCAAAGAATGGTCTGTAATGTAATCGATCCTGATCTGGTATCTCGACTTCAGTGATGGCGATTAAGGGAAATCGCGGGAATATCCTTGTCCTGGGTATGACGATAAACTACATTCAGCAGCAAAGCCTCTTAGGAGATTTTGAGGAGGTCGGAATCGAACCAAGCGCTGAGTATCTTGACCAGCCCGTCCGTCCAGAGGAAAGATCCGAGAAGAGAAGCTCCCTTCTACGAAACCAACCGCAAGCCAAGAGACTTATCGCGGTTGATCTTTCACCATCTAATAGCCTTTGATTTCTTTGCTGACTTCGTTAATTTCGGCTCTGCTCGACAGAAAAACCGAAAGCTCATCAGCATAGGCGGAGTACTTGGCCGAGGTGGCAGCACCTCTTAATTGCTGCTGTTCCCATGTTCACCATAACTTGAGGTGGTAGCACCTATTAGGGTCCCAGCTATTGGCAAATAGTTAACTATGAAACTGGTGTCAAAACACTATGAAAGTTTAAAAATAAATGTTTATAATTAGAATACCAGCAATACATTTAAAAAAAAATACCAGTAATACATTTGAATCTCGACAAAAACTCTCTTTACAAAAATACGTCTTTAAAACCTAATGTACAAATTGATTTCTTACAAAGAAATATGTTGTAACCAAGGGAAGATCACTGAATAGAATAGTCAAACGAAGGTTGGTAATGAATGATAATACTTAGGACAGAAACAACACATATAAGATTCGCCAGCGGCGCGTAGAAGAAGTAGTCACCTGCTAGAAGTGAGTCAAGTGAATTCCACAATGAATCTTCAACTGCAGGATATCTACCAACCGCCCTACGCGGTCAGATGTGGCACAAGGCCGAATTTAATGTGGGGTATCTGAGCCCGTAGGCTCGGCCAAAAATTCCCCGTAGACCTCGTGTAAAACGGGGTTGGGTAGCTGTTTCCCAAGACGAGACTTTGCCCTTCGACATAGCCTCGTCTGGGGATTTTTGTCTGCTCGGAGGCAAAGAGTTTGACCAGCACAGCTGGAGACGAATCTCCGACTGCAGAATATTTTTTGCAAAATACGTACAAATATGGCACAAGGTCAAAAAAGAGGAAAGGGGAAAAGGATGGCCATCTTCTGTCTTAACATTAAATTTAGCTAGCCACAAACACTGACCCAAACATACCAACAATATTCCTTACACCAAAACAGCACATTCCTAATTACCATTCTTACCTCATCCACCATAATGCCTCAGAAATTCTATGAAGTCCTAACTAGTCCTCATTTATACAATTCATTGTCCGTCGGGGGAGGGGAATAAAATAACAATTTAAAAATCTAAAAAAATCCTAATGAGAATTTCCAATGAGTACAAAACTATATACAAAAAAACTAAATAAAATAGTGTTAGTAATAATCCCCACCACAGACCTAACGGTGGCAAAAACAACAGTTAACTAGACGAAATCAATGCAGGACTTTAAAAATATAAAAGCATTCGTACAAGCCATACACTCGCTACAAACACACACTCATCCAAGTCAACAACAAATAGGAAAACACTCGAAACGAAAGACACCCTTCACCCACCAGAGAACTGATATCACTACCCCCTTAACGATGGGTAAGGATGGGGAATTAAACAAAAGAAAGAAAATAGGGCCAGAAAAAAATGGGGCCAATGATCATACATACCCTAGCTAAGTTAACTTGAAAAAAAGAGAAAAAAAATCTGAAACAAAAACGACCTACACTAACCTATTCACGGGAAAGGTTGCCAATGTTCAACCCAGCAATCCCAATATTATTATTGTCCTAATTTTTGTTGTTGTTATCACAACGTTTCGGCCGACTTCTGGTATCATTTGAGACGTGTATAACTCTAAACTTGCAACATCACACATGACTATCCCCAATTAAGACATAAATATAATTAAGCACCACAGAAAATCAATATTGTACCATAATAAAAAATATGAACAAAAAGGGCAATAATAATGATGATAATAATAACTTTGATGTAACAATGTGTAGTTAGGACAGTGCCATGGTATGCAAACCCATAGGCATATACATAGTCAATGAACTGAGAAATATATTAACGAAAATGATATAGGCCTACATAGGGACGTTGGTTTATTAATTCTAAGAAATTACAACGACTTAATTACAAAAAAAAAATAGGAATAGAAATAATAAAAACCTTCAAAACTCTAAGATTTACAATAGATATAAAATCCAACCAAAAATAGTAAATTTTTTAGATATAAGATTTAACCTAAACAACGGAACCTACAAACCATACAGAAAACCAAACAACAACCCGATATACGTTAACAAAAATTCCAACCGTAAATTGTTCCCGTTCCACTACCAATGCGGAATATATATTGTTCTTATTTTTAGTACAGCTCACCTCGTTTCCTCTGAGTCCAAGTACACACTGACCGGCCCAGAAATTGAACACGCAGCTATTATTTTGCCAAAATTACAGACTAATGCTTTAATCCAACAGGCTATTGTCTCGTTATGATTAAGGCTCCAAGTTCTACACACAGAATTATTATTATTATTACTTGAAGCTTTAAACCTAACCTACCTGCAGATGAGTGCTGCTGCTGATTGACTGCACTCACTGAAGCTTCTCTTTTCTTACAGCTGCTGCTGTTGCAGAATTGCTGTAATTTCTCTTTTTTTCTTTATTAGCGGCTCTCATATCGGATTTATTTCTATGCTAGGTTTACTAACGAGGTCCTTGTAGCCTAACATATGCGCTGAATCTTTCGGACATCTAACTCTCCAGTATTCTTCCTTGTTCAGTATTTTCAATTTATTCCATTCCACAAGGGCTGATGACTACCCTGTAAATAATGTAAGTAATAATAGCTCCTCATCCCAGAACTTCAGACAGAAACAAGAAATTGTCTTAATATGAAACGTTACGTCAGTCATTGAAATTACTCAGGAGTCAATGTTCGAGTTCAGACCCCCACCCTCCAAAAAAAAAAAAAAAAAAAGGAAAAGAAAAGAGAACAGGATTTCAAATGTTGTTTTTTCTCCCTTGAACGATTGACGTACTCGGCAAAGCTTAGTAAATGACAGAAGAATTCGAGAAATATTAGCAAAGAAAAATGAGTGGGAGAAATTGGTTGACCAACAATAACAGGATTGGGAAGAGGAAAAGGAAGAGAGCTAATTGATAGAAGGGGGAGAGTTTGAGAACAAAGAGGACGGGGAGGAAGATTTTATGAGAAGAGGCAAATATGAAGATGGTGGAAGGGGGAAAGGCGAAGGAAAAAGGACGGAGAAATAAGAATGGAAGGTAGGGGCGACGTAGAGGATGAGGAGTGGGAAGAAGGGTTTAGGAGAAAAGAGTAATAGGGAAAATAAAATAAAGAGTGGGAATTGATAAAAAGAGGATAGGATGAGAACAAAGATGAAGGGGAGGATGATGAAAAGATGTTGATATGAACACCCGGGGGGTGGTTGACGAACGAAAAAGAACAGAGAGAATATAGGGATGAGACAGAAGATGAGAAGGAGTGGGGAGAAAAGAGTAAGAGGAGCAGGAAAGTGAAGAGTGGGAACTGATGGATGAAAAGGAGGTAATGAGAGCGACAGTAAGACAAAGAGGAAAAAGAGGAAAAAGAGAGAGGATGGGTGAGTAACAATGATAGTGGGGGAACTCCCCAGAGGCGGTGAAGGAGGGAGAAGCGAGTGGAGCATAAAAGAAAAAAGCTGATTAATAGGAAGAGTGACAATTGATTTGGTTGAAAACAGAGAGAATAAGCGCGTACCGGAAGTGGAGGAAGGATTTATGAGAAAGACAGACGACAGTAGATGCCGACAGGAAGACGAAATGAAAATAGACGAAGTAAAAAAAAAAGAAAAAAAAAAAAGAGAACGGGGCGGAGAGAATAAAAATGTAAGAGAGGGATAAAGAAGAGAAGCATTAAGAGAGAGCGAGAAGAAAGGTTTAGGAGAAAGTGAAGAATAAGAAGAGTTGTGGTGTGAATAGACCAAGATGAGGAAGTGGGAGGAGAGAGAAAATAGAAAAAAGAAGCTGTAAGAAGAGAAGGGTGATGGAGAAACGATGTAGAAGTGGAGGGTGAAGTGGCGGAGGAGGAACGAGAGAGAAAGATAGAAAGAGAAGAGGAGGCTGTTTTCCATATAATCTCGTCTTACACAAAAGTGAAGCAATGAAAGCAAATAGCAAAGATCGGAAGCGTTTGAATAGCGTAATTAGGTGTTATTCAATCAGATTCTAATGTTTCGTGTGAAGTTTCGTCGCATTCGGATTTTATTTTGTCCATCGTTTTTGTTTTTGCCATCTTCTATTCGATGAGCTTTCGCCATTTTCTTTTATCGGAGCGAATTGCGTGTAAAGAGGTTGAATTTCGCAAAACGTCAGTCTCTGAACGAAAAATGGAATGCGTACAAGACTTTGATGAGCATTTCAACTGCTGGTCGCTTGGATTTGAACGGCTTTCATTTCTGCAGTGCGCACGTGCGTGCATGGGAACTAGTTGAAAACCGTTCCTTCGTTGGGCATCAGGGTGAAGTCATGAAGATTCATTTCTGAAAATACTGTTTCCAGCGATGATAAAAAAAAAAAATAAATAAAATGACCGAATGTTGTCCTTAGATCAACTTTTCACAAATCGTTAAAAAAAAAACAAACAAAAAACATTTGTTTATTTTTCCTGAGATGAAATATTTTTCTATTATTTTTTTACTTTTAAAATTGAAAAAAAAAAAGAAAATAATTTCATCACACGCAAGACGATAAAGCCACGAAAAGGGTTACTGATTGTTAAAGAATATGAGAAAAAAATGTTATTAAGGAGAGAGAACAATAAAAGAATAGGAATTAAGAAGACAGAAGATAACAATTGACACTTCATATAAATTTTTGAAGATTAAATTTGACTGGCAAGCAAGAAGCCGGAAGAGAATTTCACAAGTAAAACTGTTAGCATAGAACTTACAGTTAAATCTAGCCATTTTAACTGTAAAATGATCAGCCCTTGGCGTCAATCTAGTACTGTGCTTAAATTTATAAAGTCTAAGTCCCATAGAGGAAAGTTCATCAGAACAATTACTATGGAAGTATTTATAGAAAAGGCACGGGAAGCTACATTAGGTAGGTGGGAAAGTGACTGAAGCCGAGATGCCAGGTCAGAGCAAATAACATTTAAGATTCTTCTTTAGAATTTATCAAGAATCTGTAAATACGTAACATAAAAAGAAGAAACTACAATGTTATTGGTCCTGACCTGGCATCTCGGTTTCAGCAACTTTCTCACTGCCGTAGCGTATTCTATATATTTTTCAGATGATTATCTTAATGTTCTTAGCTCTTAGCACAAACACATATATGTATATACGTATAAGATGATAAGACAAAGTGGATTTTAGAGTAGGCGTCCTTCAGAATGGAAGGAGAAACGAACCCAAATGTGAAAAAAAAAAAAAAGCTTTGTCTCTCAATCCAGCCTGCGGACGCCTATTCTAAGAGGCGAAACGCGTACCTGAATACTTTTGTCTTATGATCTCCACTTTAATCCAGTTCTTGTTCTGCATCCTACTATCACCCATACACGTTTTCATAATGTTGGTCTAATATAGCTTCGATTTCGCTGGCGAAATTAAATTCCCGATAGGGAAGTGCGTTCACAGACAAATCCATAAATCATTATGTTAGACACACCGCCACTCGCCTGTCATGATGGCTGACTCTAGAACTCTCTAACCAGAGCTCCATACGGGCATACTTAAACCAGCATGGAATTGTACCAACCTTGATACGCAGCATACTTGTCGAGAGCATAAGTGTTATACCCCCAATTGCAAAAAGCAATTAAAAATAATGGAAGCTCTTATTATAAAACAGAAGAAACTTCCGCCCACAAAAAAAAAAACAACAACTCTTAATAACATCACTTAGGAACACGGCCATAATGTACTGGCCATGTTCGGGTATTAAGAATATGTTTACTTTCAACAACGTTTATACTATCTAAAATAGCACTTATTTATTAGAACGGTGAATTGGGATCAAGAATGTTTCGGTGGCGCAGAAATACTTTGAACGTGTTTAATTTTAATTCTCTTTTATGTTCATTAATTCTGTTCTTTAAATAGTGGTATCACTAAAATTCCTGAAAACGACTAATAGATTAGTCAATAGTGCTCAGAACCAACTAATATTTGGTCACTTTCTTCGCATACAGGTAAAATATAAAAAATTGAACAAAAGTGTCAGTTTTGTTTAATGAAACATGTATGAAAAACATGTATTAAAAAAGGATTTCTCAGTACACACACACACACACACACACACACACATATATATATATATATATATATATATATATATATAGTCAATTCGTCCTAAGCAAGGCGATAATGCTACTAAGACGCAAAGAGCTATAGAGAGTAAAAGAGAATGAAAAGACTTTAGAAGACACTGGAAGCGTAATGAGTCTTGTTCAAAAAATCGAGGAGGAGCGTGTACTGGACCATAGGCGAATCTATCTAATGGTTGGCCGCTCGTATCCGAGTAAGCCTGTTCGCATAGGGTGGCTAGTCAATCCCTGTTGCAGACACCTGCTTAGGCACATTTTGTGCTTGTTAAACACCTTTGGTTAAACATGCATCTCTACTGAATGAACCTTAGTTACAATTTCTGGGAGGGAGCACATTCGGTTCCCAAATAGTTTTCCAATTTCCAGAGGTGCCGTACACTGGGATCGCCTCCTTAAGCCGATAATATCAAGAAGTCATCTTCCTGAAAAATCGACCATGGTGCGTCTCATTGTCGCAAAACTAACGTTTTAATCACTCGGCAACGTGCTTATCTCTCTCTCTCTCTCTCTCTCTCTCTCTCTATCTCTCTATATATATATATATATATATATATAATTATTTATATATATATATACGCGTGTTGGAATTATTTTAAAAAATATATATCGAGCACTATTTTTAAAAAATAATAACAAAAATACTAAAGAACTTTGGATTATTTACCTAACGAGTTCTTTCCTATTTTCTATATATTTTTACACACACACACACACACACACACACACACACACACACACACACACATACATATATATATATAGCACATTGAACGCTGCTGTTAATAAAATGGTGTTCGATGTAGAATAGCAGAGCTCGAAATTATATATTAATAATAAATATATATTTTCTTCCACACCGGTAGCAAAATTCTGTGTTTCATGCACAGCGCAATCGTCAGGTTCAGATTAAAAACTGACTGTTGCATAATTTAAATATATATATATATATATCGGACTGTAATAATTGTGGAGCAGTCCATATTATTTACGGAGTGGGTTTAAAAAATAATTGTAAAATAATAAAATTAAATCAAAAATGAGTATAAATAAATGGGGAAAAACATTAAATATCATCATCATAATCATCATCTCCTTGACTTTTGTAATCGTAGGGGGGATTCGAATGCAGAAGCCATATTGAATTTCTTCCACAACGATCTATCAACGGCAGCCATCAGCAATTCTGATATAGTCATACATGTCCATTATTTGACATTCTCCAACCAGTTTTTGTTGTCGTGTCTTATAACTACGCCATTTTTCTCCATTTGACTGCATTATATACACTTATAAGCAAATGTACAAAAGCACACATCTGCACAACGACAAAAATAGAATAATTATAATAATATTATAATTCAAACACATATATGCACATTAAATGGCGTGAACTATTTTAATTCCCTTCCTACAGTTTCATTCCAAGGGCCGTTGCTTTGTGGAATAGATTTTCAAGAGGATAACTCCTCCACCCCTGAAATCTTAACCTCTTCAAGTCAAAGGTCAACCATTATCTATCCTGTATATCCTCATAATATACAATTCTTGCATTCATAAAACAACTCACATCAGTAATACTCTGCCAGGAGTGACTCTTGGGCCTTCGATGAACAACAGCATAATATACATATAAATTCGATTTTGCTAGGTTTCACTGATGAACAAGCGTCTTTAGAAAAAAAAAAGATTTTATTTCACCAGAACAAAATATGCTTTTGTGAAACAGAGTCCTAGGCGATCAACGAGGGCGTCCCCCAAGGTTCGCTTCTCGGTTCAACCTTTTTCTTACTTCACATATATGATTTGCCTAAGAGTATACTCCATTCGTTTGTGAATATCTAAGCTGATGACATAACGGTATATGGGTGCACCTCCAAAACAATCGGTGACCAGAGCTTGGCAGTTGATCTCTCTTCTGACCCGGCTCTAGCATCTCAGTATGCGTGTGTGGGAGGGAGCTGGCCTAGAAAACTAAAGTAGTAACCTTCCACCATCGCCAGTCAGAATTCACCCTAATTGTGATAAACAGTGTTCTCTTAGGGAAGTCCCGTGTCTTGAGCATCTGTAGAGATTTATACTCAATCAGGACCTAAAGTGGAACTCGTACATACGAACCATCGCTAAAGATGCTTGGGAGATAGTCGTTTCCCTGTACTAATCCTTATCCCAGAATCTTCTACCTTTACAAGCGCTAGATCAGGCCGAAAATGGAGTACTGCTGTCATATATGGGCTCTGGAGCTGCACAGTCTTCACTTCCCACTCTTGATAGAGTGCAAAAGCGGCTGATTATTTTCCACTCTGCAATACCTTTTTCATAGACGAGATGTCGCAAGCCTTTCGCTGTTCTATCGCTATTTCCATGGAGAGTGTTCAGATTAACTACACTCCTTAGTTCCACTGATCCTAACCTTGACGGCTAAGACATGCCATGTCACGCACATTGTAGCGTACCACCCCCATTCCCTTCATATTCCCCTGGTGAGATGTAAGTTCTACTTAAGCAGCTTCTTCCCATGAACCGACTCCTAAGAGGCCAATTACTCGATTACTACAATCTTAACCTCTTCAAGACTAGGGTTAACCGTTATCTTCCAGACATATAGCCATAAACTGTGCCTCTTACTCTGTAATATCCTACCTCGAGTGGCTCTTGGGTCTTGTATCAGATCAACATCATGGTAAAAAAAAAAAAGATTTAAATCAGTTGCAGTTAATCGTCTGAATTTTACTTTACTTGTATCGCAAAAGAAACTGGATTTTGACTCATTTCAACTCAGTTTTTACTAATTTTTAAAATTTT